ATATTCAAGGACAAGAAATGTAAGTTGATTGTTCTTCCCCTCTTGCAGATTTCAATTTATTGAAATACTGAAGAGATTATCACCTTTTCTATTTAAAATTTGTGAAGCGAAAGATCTACAGAAATGAGACTACAGGTTTTTGTTAAATTCATGCTCAAAAAGTTGTTTTCTTTTATTCCGCTTATTCTTTTTGTTCCGCTTATAGGGTGGGTTTAGCAAGTATTAAGCAAGACCAACCATTCCAAAATTAAAATTAAAAAGCGTGCCAAGCATTGTTGTTTGTAGATACATGTACCACAGCAGCTGTATCATAAAATTCATGATAGCTATTCGTATTATGCGTTTATCAGAGACCATGCCATTTTTTAAACACAGTATAAAATGAAGGTTCAAGGGTCCAACGAATGTATTGTTTATGCAGTTCTTTTAGCTAGTCATTTATAAAATGCTACTATTTAACCTGAACTTCATTGTTTTTTGGTGTCATTTTAAGGGCATTTATTTGGGGTTGGGGGTTGGTCATGTAATATGCCTACTTGTGATCATAAATGTGATGTAAACCAAAGGCAGAAACGTTCTTGTGTTATTGTAGTTTGTGCACGAAGTTTTGCTAGCATTTGTAATAGTTTGCTGTTCAAAATTTTGTTTGCTGTCGTAAATGATTGTTGTAATCAAAAGTGAGCTACGTTTTCTTGCAATTTCACAGAACAAAATTTGGGTTCACAATGTGAACGGAACCCCTTCCAAAAATGATCAGTATCTTCCTGTGATGACATCACATAAACAGCTCCTTTACTTGCCAGGAAAAGTATAGAAAATCCCATGTGTTTAAAAAGTGGGGAGTTCACTGAGAGTAACCAAAAAGATGTCAAAACTGTTCTTACAATTTAGAGTAGTAGAAAGCTGTACAAAGATGTTTAACTAAAATTCGCTTATTTTCTATAACTTTATGAGACTCGTCGTCTTGTATGGGCAGTGGGAGCTTTCCTAATATCCACATAGTTAGGACGAAGGGCTATAGTTATGAATGTTTTACGTGGTGCTAATTTTAATTTACCAAATAATTATTCTAGGGAAGATATGTTGTAAATTGGCGTAAAAACATGGGTCGAACACTGTCAATATTTCTGTGTATGGCTCTCAACTTGTTTAATTAAGAAACACCGAAATCCCTATGAAATTGAGGTGAAATAACTTCCGCGTAATTATAATGATCTTGATTCATCTTGAATGATGAGTTTGACTTAAAAAGCCGAAGGGTGGTTGGTTGCCGTAGTCTCGCGTGTTTGTAACTCTAGTAAACTACCTACCTAATAGTCTTGGTTGGAGTATTGTACCGAATGTCAGGAAGTGCCTGTCGCAGCGAAGTACGTGTGGAACACGTGTACGCGTGAATGTGAAACTTCCAAGTTATTTTTGGCTCACATTGTGGGGCTTTTCGTGTGAGGGATGCCATGCTCTTTGGATTAAGATCCTTGACTAAGAGGAAATGGACCAGATTTCTCGGCGAAGATGAGAGGGTAGAGTGTTATCGAAGGGGAAGTTGAAGATTATGCCAGATGTTTGTGTGTGGCTCCCAGTTTCTGCGTTCAGTTTCTATGAATTGGGCGACTAAGCATCCACTCGCACTTGTTACCCGGAAGCGTTTGCTTGGCGAGAATTTCAGCTAAAACTGTGTGTCTGTACGTTTTACACAACCCGTAGCGAATGTCTTTCTAAAGAGTTTCTGTGAATGCCCAAGTGTGGCACATATATAGTGTGCACCTCCGGACAACAGTCCATGTAGTGCAAGGTTAGAAGACGTTTTGTTGACTTGCACATGTTCGCATAGTGTTTCCCCCCGCTGAAAAACAGCTGCAGATACATTTGGGGGTCACGGTTATCTGTGGCAAAATGAAGAGAAACAGTCGCTGAAATCATTAAAAACCAAGCTCCTAGGGGTTATCATATTGGGAGACAGAGCATTTTCTTAACGACAAGAGAACTAAGGACTTACGTAAAAACAAGCAAGGTATGGGTGTGCGACGTGTGTTAGTTAAAGCTAATCCAGGATATTCAGCGACTCCAACTTCAAAGAGCCGAGTCTTCCATTTTGTCATCAAACATTGTGTTTGACGCCACGCAGGCGAGTCTATTAATTAACTTATATTAAGATATATCGTCCAACAGACCTGGTTGCTTACTAACTGAATTTACAACTGAATGGCGGCTTACTAGCTGCCATTCAGTTGTAAATTGGTTTTTACAATGAAACCACAATGTAGTTGAAACGTATACCGGTACAACTTGCTAAGTTTTTGTCTGATTGATTTGCTGTTAAATTTCATGTTCAAGTCTAAAACACTCTGGTGAATATTATGTCTACAGTACTACAAGTTATACGACAGACAAAATTATGCTTTGCAAACTATAGCACCTTTATTGTGGAGATTAAATGTTTCACAGTTTTGGTGATTTTTTTTTCAAATCAGCTTTGTGCAGAGCTAAAATTGTTCTGTTTTATTTTATTATGCTAGAGTTTAGAGTCTCTGTTGTCGTTTTCTGGCGTTGTTGAATATCAATACCTATTGAGCTGAAACTATCGATCGTTTCCATTCTTGTGAAATGAAACGGATATATTAAGTTGAAATCTCTCTGAGTGTGTCCTCCATTGCAGTTTTCGCCACAGCATCCAGGGCGTCCTATAATATTGGTTTAACGCTATACGTTAAAGCCCTTACTCCGCTGAATGCCATGAATTTTTCATTCGACCTAATCCCGAAGAAGGTGAATCCTCTTTTAGGATATAGGTTTTAAGTCTTCAAATGTCAATGAACTGAAATTCAAAATTATCTACTTTGTTTTTCGCCGTAGTCTGTCGCGTAATAAAAAGATTGAGAAAGGGGCTCGCTACATTGAAAACGGACAGATGTCACAAACAGATCTGTTCCACTTGTTTTGTCCGTTTACGTTGATGATTTGATGCCGGCATGACAGTGGATTTGGTGTGTGCTTCGTGACAGCGATTGTTGGGAAAAGAGTCATCATACATTTAGTTGTCTGTTAGTCGTTTTGGCGTCTATTTAGCTAAACAACAGACGCATGCGACTTGTGACGCTCCACCCACTGCGGGCATGTTTACTTGCAAGGAAGTTGATTGTCTGGCTGTGCAGTTTACTATAAGCCACTCGATGAAAGGTGCACTGGATTGTTTGCGTGGTTTGGATCATATGGTCATACTTTGTTGGATTTCCAGAGGGAACATTCGAGCTCTAAAACGATTACAGGAAAAAGGCCTTCGATTTTCTACGAAAGCACTTTTTGTTCGATTTTTACAAAGGTTGTCTGTTAAGCCATCTGGAATATATGACACTACAAAAGGAGTCGTTCCTTTGATAACAAAGAAACACAAAAGAGGTAGGCGAAGCAGCTTTTTTATCGGAAGAATTCCCTCATGTAGATAATCCCAGCTGGAGGTGTCTTGACTTTGAATGGATTTGTAAGGGAAACCAACCCCCCCCATTCTCGCCCCTTCACATTTGTACGTTGAAGGGAATAGACTTGTGCCTAGTCGCGTGTCAAAAATCACTCTCCATTTAAAAATAAATATCTTGTGACTGATAATACAAACAGTTGCTGAATTTGTTTGGAAAGGAGACTTTGATTAGCTTTAGCAAGTGGTGCCCGTATGTGGCATCTTATTTTCTGTTTTTTTTTCCAGTGGGTGACATGCTTGCTGTTTACTAAGAATTACCGGAGTCTTTATTTGCTGTGGTGGATATCGTGCAGGACGTCTCTATCAACGTGCTTATCATCTTTCCAATCTTGCTTGCATGAGTGTGTCACGAGTTTGCAACTTTCACCTCGTGAATTGGGACTGAAAAGTCATATTACATGTAGAAAACGTACACAGGTTTCGGGCAGGAACCTTCTTTTTTTCTTTTCTTTTTTTAATATGAATGAGGGTTTAACTTACGGTATATCGGAGAACCTGTAAAGATGTCAACTTCCACTGTACATGTAGTGTCATTTGCCTCATCATTCTGTCCATTAAGCAAAAGTATTGCCGTACAATCTACGAGTGTACTATTGATAGCAGACGAAACAAGTACGAAACAACAGTATGGCCATCGTGATAACTTCATGATGGCCAAAGTTATACATGAACGCTGCACTACAATACAAGGTATCCGTATGTCCGAATTACTAGGCTGCTGCTTGAAATTACACACGACTGACTCTATGCGAGGTGGTTGTAGCCACCATCATAATTTCGAGCTGCAACCACTGTGGGCTACAACCAAGTAATTCAGGCAAGGCCTTATTCTGACGTCATTGACTCCTTTACAGCAAGCCCCTGCTTCTTCGAATCAAGTAGCTATATAGCTGGCCATAGCACGCAAGTATTTGGAGAGTGGCTTCAGCCGCTTGTCAGTGAAATATACCACTAGGCGTGCGAGTTATCTCCAGTTGGACATGGCTTTGACTGTGGCATGATTAATTCCCTGATCAAGTCCATCTCTTGTAACGCTGGTCGCACATGGGTGTAAATTCTTGCGCCCTTTAGGTTTGTGATAAAATCCAATGAGAATGCTGGTGAAGAATTTTAAGGACTTGGCATTTTATCATTGCCAGTGACTAATCGCTTTTCGTTCTGAATGATTTGCGGAAGCGAACTGACTTTTGAGACTTTAGCGTCGTGGCCGGCGTCGTCGTCGACCCTTCCATCAGTTTTCGAAGAACAGCGTTGTCGCCGCCGCCGTCGCTGTTGTCGTCGTCATCGTTGTCGCCACCTTCGACAATCCTCATGAGGGCAGAGGTATCACTGGTTTTTCGGAATTCACGAAAGCTGCACACTATTGGTATAGGAAATGGGGAAATTATGTGCCATAAAAATGAGACCACATTAATAGCTTTCTTTGCCGAACTATTGGTATCCACGCCCGAAAATATTGTTAGTTTTCACAATCATTGAGACCCAAACGAATCACTTGTCCAATTGGTTTGCCTTTCTGAATCAGGTCAACACCTTCGTTGGGGCTTTCCACGACGCTGTCATCCTGTATGCCTTGGCTCTCAATGAGACCCTGGAAGAAGGGGGCAACCCCCGCGACGGAAAGACACTTACTCACCGGATGTGGAATAGAACCTTCGAAGGTACGTATTAAATGTGACAGTGTGTACTGCCTTCACCTCCCAGCATGCCGTCAGCCTATGCAGTGGCCTACGTCATGAATGCTGTAGACATAATGTTTTATTGCCAGTCTAAGAAAAGCTCAATGCTTAAGTTGCGTTTTTCAAAGCTGTAATGACGAGGAGTATTGATACTAACCACCAACCTGCAAATTCAGTCAGACCTATCTCACCATATGTTGAAGCATGACCTTGTCAGTTGTACAGACTTCAATTGTTGGTATTATTTTCCATTTATAATTTACTCTTGACTTTTGCTAAGCTTTAAAGCCAGCTAAGTGTTTGTTCAGCATTTAATTAACGCTACTCAACGCTGTTGCAATATAATACTCTTACCTTTAAAATTTTCTGCGCATTTAACGTGGTATTTCGGCGCTGTAAACTCTAATAAGGGAATGAATGTGCGCTTGACCGGTCTTATACGTTCTTTTGAGATTGGCTCAGTAGAAGAGACATTGGTAACGCCCTAGCCGAGACGTTGGTCAATATCAGCGTACATAAACAACGTTTAACACCGGTCATGCAAAATGTTTATTGCCCTCCATACCTTGTAAGGCAAAACGTCAGAACATGTGTAAGAATTATAAATTTTGAACCATTTTGCTCAACAGTTTTACTTCATTTTTAACACCACTCTAGCCGTGTTATGGTATGTCCCCCTTGCGGGTTTTTGTAAACAATCTCCTCATTAAAGGAGATAAGCGCGCGCATGGCGCGTTCTGCGCGAGGTGGGGCAAGCCAACCTGCGCTTGATCAACCGTATAAGAGCGGCCAAGAGACAGTGCACTCGACAATCAAGAATGACTAAGCTATCTCGGTATTTATGACGACCAATTTTACCACCATTCATTTTGACAACGGTCAAGGTGAGTTTATCGCTCGCTTGTGAGCTTCAGTTACTGGAAATTGACAAGAAAGCAAGGGTATACTTTTCATGCACAAAAAATGCTGGTTCATGAACAAATGGTGAACCGTATAAAGTTGAAGTTTTGAGGGTTGCTTTTCAACTTTTCTCTTGAATTGTTGTCCGGTGATTGTATTTATTATTGGTTTTTTTGGGGGTCGAGTGTTGGAATTTTGTTTGTCTTTATTGACAGAACCTAAGATCAAATATTTCGATACAGCTTTTACTTTTGTAAAAAACAGGCGAGAATAAGGGAAATTTTCGGATGTGTAAGACCAATTTATAAAAGTTACTTTTATCTGATAACCGCGTGGAATGAATAGTAATGGTAACTGGGGTAGGTTAATTGTAACAAGTTAAAATTATTTTTCTTGTTTTTGGCATCTAAAACGGCATCACAAAAAAGTCTTTTTCTTTCCCCCCCCCAGTTTTCCTTTTTTTCAGTTACTGTTTTTAAAGTACTTCCTATTCGTTATTATGTTGTTGCCCTTGTGACCATTTCTTCAAAAAAGAGAGTGCTTGGCACGTTGTGGTTTTTTATCTTAGCCACTTAAGAGCGACTATGAATGCAGTAAAACACCATTTTTACAGACATTCGTACCAGAGTTGCACCGATTTAAAACGATTCTAATAGATGCGGGTATAAACAGAGGCATATCTAGCCGCGCAAAGCTCTTGAGATTAAAATTTCATTCACAGACTGCATTTGGACGTGAAATAAATATGAGGGCCGGTACGCATAGTGAATGCTGCTTATGCTGTATGATTTCAGCACTATATGAAAGGATAAAATGCGAAAGGGACAATGCTGAAACATACTTTATGTGGTAAATATATGTATATCGTCCACATCATTTACACTATATTGTTATTTACGATCGCCCCCATATAAACTGGAAGGTTGCCGACGTATCACATTATTCCCGAGGTCTGATTTTCTAATTGCCGTATATTTGCGTACATTTGCATTGAGTTGGGGTTGTGAAAGGGCTTCCTTAGTCGTTCAGAGCCACTACAATAGCCGATCTTTTCACACTGTTGCACCTCTGCATTTCTGGCGTCGTTCTTCTCATGTCTAATTCCAATCTCTGGAATTCTGCTACGCCCGTGTGAATCGAGTGTGAGATCATGACCAATCAACAAACTAACTTTGAATTTAGATGATCTTGAAAGCGATCGAGACAATTCAAGATTACTTGCACTTCTGTTCAAATTATACCCGGAGAAGTTCATTCAAATTCGCCCTATCAATGGGTAAACCTTTTTTCGGTATCTTGGGATGCATTTCGCTTCAATCATACTTGTTAAAGGGGAAAATCATGTGCTGGCAGCAGGTGGCATGGTCAGTATGTGAATCTTCGGTGTAAACTGTAGTTAAACGGTGGTATAGACAAGTTTCGTTATACTGCCTGAGAGTATGTGGAACTTGGGAAAAAGTTTGGAACTGGCAACAATACACATATTTACATGTAGCATGCCACGACGCCTTGCACACTGTGACATCTATGGCTGAGGGAGACACAGCAGTGACAGTGCAAAAACAACTGTTGCATAAATACCTGAACAATCAGACCTGTTTAAGCAATTGATTGGCAAGAAATGTTTAATATATTGATCGATATACGAATCACTGAAAGGATCAGAAAGATTCATTCGTTCTCTATCTTGTCGTTAATTGACGTTTCTATCTATTTGATCTGCATGTAATTATCGCATCACGCGATACTTTTTCGCGCCGATGAACAAATGGATAGTTACGCAGCAAAAGTAAAAAGTAATTTTTAGAGAGGTTGGCAGTATTGCATTTTTTTACTGCATGCAAATTAGGCATCAAACTAAAACCAAGATACGATGGGTATTAATGTTCAAGGTTTTTGAATATTTGTGTCATTTGAAAGAGTATAGATACAGTCTGTCTTTTCCTGACTCTTCAACTTTTTTATGTTTTGGGAATTTTTCTCTTTAATAGGAATTATGGGCAACGTGACTATAGATAGCAATGGGGACAGAGAGGCCGATTATTCGCTCCTTGAGATGACCGACATCGAAAATGGCATCTTTACGGTAGGAATTTCGATATTTATGTCATGCACGCGATCACAGACCTTACTCACTGTGTTACGCATGCGTCAGGCATGTCGTGTGATTGAGTACATATATATCATGTTATTTAGAGGAATAAAGGTATTAACCTCGAGACAAGTTTTAAAGCGAGTTAGTGACTACCCGATTAATGGCAAGCGTTTCCGATTAGGAATACTACTTTGGCACCCTCCTTTTAAATGATTCCTTTGGAATATAGGTCTAGATTTATTTTCTAATAACAAATAGCATTGTCTTTCTGATTTGTAATTCTGGTTGATTGTTTTGAAATGGCAAGTAGTCACAGAATCGTTTCGTTGGTAGCCGACACCTGTCAGTTATGCTGACAAGGCAGTTGTAGTCGCGCGTGTGCCCGGACGTAGGGGCCCGTTCATAAAGTACGTACTCACGAAATGCCGTTTTTTCAGACCCCCCTCCCCCTGTGTACGCGTGGCGTAAGCAGTGGCTCCACCCCCTCCCCCTCCATGCATACGCATTCCACAATTCTGGAAGACACTACCGGTCTTTGTGTCATGAGTAATGATGCGGTTTATTAATAACGGGCGTTGACACAGGAGGATAAATGGTGGGGCGGACGGTGTATGGAGGATACTGTGTTTGAATTTCGACGTATGCAAAACTGATTCTGGTATGAGAGTGAGTATTGATGCGAAGAAGATTCATTACAGGCAAATTTTCGGTTTGCAGACGGTACGTTATGGCTTGAACCCCCTTCCCCTCTGTACGCATGGAGTACGCAACGGCACCAACCCCCCTCCCCCATCGTGCGTCCGTTCTTTAATGGACGGCCCCTTAGTGTACAAACTCAAAAATAATATCCTATGGACTGGGGGTACAGCGCCACCAAGCGTTGAACGTGGACCCCTCATAGCTTTTGTTTACAGCAGTTTGGAGGTTTTTATAGGAGGGTATTTAGTGATAGAACCTAGTTGGATTTGCACTTGCATTTGCAGATATTTGTGACAACGTCTTGATTGAAATCATACCGGCTTGATTGAAATCATACCGTGGCATTTTTTTTTCAGGGTAAAAATATTAATGTCCCTGTGGCGTGTGAGGAAGAATGGGTTGGCGGATCGATTTTAGGCATTGATGAAGTGTTTCACAGTTCCAACGGTTGTCGCGTGGTGTTATAGATGCCGCAAGCCGATATTTCAATCAGTCACGTTCTGCATGCAGCACAAACACACTGTTGTCCTTGAATGACCAAAGAGGAAGCTTCGAGTTTGGTTAGCTTAAGCGTTGATGTTACGCTGTGTGGACTTTGTTCGATCACGTTGTCGTCCTTAGATGGGAAAATTAACTTCATTTCGTTCCTCGTCCGTTGTTTGATTAAACTACTACTTCTTTTAAATTACATGACAACTTGACGATTCGATGGTTGTCGCTCTTGAAATTAAATGCTTATTTAGCTACACATCATTCCCTTTTTAAGATGGCCAATCGGCAATTTCAAGTCCCACTTGCGCCGATATTATCGAGTGGCAACTGACTGCGGGTTCGTTCGTGGAAATTGTGCCTCGCTTATCAAACTGCGACTCTGAAAGTGAAGAGCCAAGACTACCTGGATCCGCTCAACGCAACTGCGCAGTATAGACCTAGCAGACTCGGATGGCATCTCAGTATTGCCACGTCGCGTCTTGTTTAGCACTGTCAGGTTGTCTAATAATAACTGCGTCGATCGATCCAACGGGTTTGACATTCGCTATTAGTGACTGACATGCAGCGCGTAAAGTCCCCCAAGGACCCTGTCAGTGACGCGCGAGCATCAATGATATAGACATATATACGGTTGCCATGGTCACGCATGATTTCATTTTAATTTTTAATCATGACTATAGTTAAAGTAACATTTCGGTATTTATTCTCATTTAATATACCACCGTGACGGATCTTTTCTGAAGTAAGTGTTGTTCGAACAGTTCTTGTATATTTAACTGCTGTATTTTTCCCTAAAATACTGCTGATTTAAAAAGCGAAATACCTCATTTTTGCTTTTTAAATTGTGAGGAAGTTAGAAAAAGAAGTGCTTATTGTCAGCATGGTTATTTATTTTTATAACAGTTGCTTGTACGTGATCACTCGTTAATGCAGGATGAATGTTTAGGATGATCATCAGCTACCTACGTACTTTGTGTGTCAAGAGAGTTAAACAGATCTGTAATGGAAATTTCAAAATCATTGTTTTTGTGACAGAGCAAACAGTCGTCAACCACAAATCAACCCAGACTGCTGGGCTGTCACCCCGCTGTGTTTGTGTTTGATTACTGAAATCAGGGCATCGCTGATTGACCTTCCCTTCGGGAGAACCTCACACGTGTCGTTGTGGCGGTTTGCGCTCTGCATCCGAAGGCGCTGCAGAGCAAATATTACAAGGGAAGGGGGCTCGGGCGAGCCAGCGCGGCGGAATTTGTTTAAGCGGTTGAGGCACGCCGCTCGTAATGACCTGAGCTGGTCGACGCTGCATTGCCGGGCAGTAGGCCGTATGGCTGGAGTTCGATTGGTAATGGCGCTACCGCGCAAACATGGAATCTTCTTCACTCCCACCTGGGAATGGAGCCTGCTGTGTCATCTCATTTCCAGCGAGATTTCCTGTTCCTAGAACCCAGTGGAACTGCATCTTAAGTTTCCTTCTGCAGAGCAAATGATCTTCGCGAGGAAATGCCATAGCGTGTTTCGTGACAAGTCAAGTAGAAGACAAACAACGAGATCGGAGCCTCCCCAGCTTGGGTACTCCGTTTTCCCCGCGCGAAAGTTGCAAGCAATCGTTTGTGTCCTCATAGTTGTATTAGGACACTTAGGTACAGCAACATTTTCCTACCTGGTCGCTTGTATTGCACTGATGGTATATTCGCCAAATGATTACAGAACTGATGGAAGACATTATCGGGCAAACGGGTGATACGTGTAGCAAAAGTCATCTGGGCTGCTATGGTATCCAAGACTGAGAAATATGCTGCATCCCTTGCCGAATTCCCCATAGAGTTGCTTCTTAAAGAGATGACGTGTTAGTTCCCCGTCTTTCAAATAAATAGCGTTTGCGGTATGGAGTAGGCAAAGGTGTGATTTGGCACCTTGTACTGTGAACAGCCGCGGTTATTTGTGCCGTGTTAAATTACGATACATCACTTATCAGAGTTAGTAGGCCATTTCTGAGCATATACTATTATGCACCCGTCTACTTGTTCTCTGAATAGCGAATAGCGGGACACAATACATATGCTTTCAATTAATATATGCTTTCATTTTTAAGGCAAATGCGGCAAGTAAATGGTCACATTCACGGGTTGGCTTCAGTGCATCTGCCACGTGGCGATGGTTGTAAACACTTCCGAAGAGCACTCAGGCAAATCACGGATAAGTCGTATTGTGCTCCAACAGAAAAAAATTGTTGGGTGTTGGGAACAATCTGGCTGCATTATATGTCACCTTGGTACAAAAAGTCGTGTTGAGTTCTCGTCCAAATGAAAACTATTCGACCGAGACGAAGCCTTAAGTCATTACGAAATGGCTTGGCACTTCCCCTTTTTAGAATGCAATAGTTCAATTTAAAGCATTTTTATGCAGTTTGCTGGATAGAGTTTTTGAACACTTGCAAAAAATTTCGCATGCAATAACAGTGAATGATTGTGGCCATTTTTCGAATGGTTCAACACTCTTGCATATGGCCGTGCGTGGTTGCCTGTTGTATCTCAGGCTATTTGTGTGGAAGACCAAAGTTATCCCCTTTTTTAACGACTTTTTAGGTGTTAGAAATAGCACCTACTGCCGTGCTTAGCTGGCTTGAAGGTATAACAAGTTGGCCTGGGACTACTTATTGTACGAACTTCACAGCTGATTACCCAGCAATATGAGCGACAGTGTTTGCTGTGGGCGGTACAGTGGGCTGAGTACGATTCGTAATGCAGATCAAAAAGGTGTCAACATTTTCATGGGACCCTGCATTTAAGCCTTAGGGAGTCCTACGGAAAATAATCTGGTGGGATTGAATCGGTGTTTCCTTCTTCACATTTCTCATTTATACAGTTGCACCAATAGTACTGAATCAGTGGTCATCTGAATGCAAAAAGACACAGATTAAATTTTGCGTCATCATACTCTTCGGTCCACTCTCTGTCCATTTCTGGCGTGATAATACCATGACGTAGATTTTTAAAATTAAGATAAGTCCTTTTTATGAGCGTTGGTACTGGTTGGCAGTGCATGGTGGTGCCGCCTCTACTCTTTTTTTTCGCAGATTTTTGGTCACATGTATCAACTAAATGTACCGTGACACAGACCTGCATGAATGCCTCAAAGGTTTCTTATTATTAAGCGGGGGTATTTTGGTTCGACTATCTCCCAGTTATGGATTGAGTTTTTATTTCCGTGGTGCACACCGATTTAGCAACCCTCAGTTCTCACGTCAAGATCTAAGTTGTGTTGTGCCCGCTCCACCATAAGACGATTTTGTCCATTGTTTTTCCCCCAAGGCTGTCGTGAAGTACATGTATAATCAGATCCATTGTTGTCAAATGGTCTTTCACCGTCTTCTCATGCCGTCCTTCGAAAAGACGTGGTCTGATGGAGAGAGCTGGAGATAGAAGCCAATTCACGAGTGGAGCAGTATCATGCCAGTAATGGGTCGAGCGAGATGGTGGGAAATGGACAGTTGCCAATGGCCTTGGCGATCGAGCAGATGAAGGAGTCTGGATCGTGCGTTTTCAATTTAAAAGAAAAAAGTGCTTAGGGACCAGGCGGCAGCGAACCACATTTCCTTATGCATGGCCAGTCTTGGAAGTAAGACCATTTTACCTGCATTTACTCGAGCCTCATCGTGTAAAAATAAGACCAAGTATAAAAGTAAAGAAAGGGAATACAAGAGTTGTGGGTAGTCACGGCGATTTTCGCGTGAGTCAGCCGTCTCTGGGTGAATAAAAATGCCAATGTTGGACAAATCGCAGAGCTTCGTTTCTTTGGTGCTAATCTCCGATCCATATTATCCTTCCAAACGTTATCCACTTTGCTTACAAATATGTAATGCGGTTGGTAAAATTTGTATATGATGTGCAACTTTTGACAAGAAGCAAGGGAAGTTGAAATTGCCCCAAAATTTGACAGAACCCCACGTAAGCGTAGGTAAGCGTAAACGAACCACCCCTCGTTGCTAAAGGGGTAGCTGCAATAAATGTTTTTGATTGCAAACCTGTAAAATGCACCTTTGTACCGCAGTAAACCTTATTTTAAACTTTGGTTTCACTATTTCCAAGGGTATTTTAATGTTTCAGTTTTATGCTAATGAATATTTCCATATTCATGAGCAAAACTGTGATTTCATCTCAGGAAGAAGCCTCAATGTTACATATGTTTGTACACAAAGAAAGCCCTGCTTTTTACAGATTTTCCTGGACTGAGTTTTTTCTTCTTTGCTGATTCATTGTTGTTTATGGGCATAGCAGTAGGAAACCATCAGTTCCTCTCTCAGAAATGTTTTTAGTCAGTGAATTCTGGGTTCACATTTTGTATAGAAATACCTATGCACCGAACCATGTCTTCCTCAAATGACTTCACAGCAACAGCGCCCTCAATTTTGATTGTTAATAAGTGTGAACTTTTCAATGCATTTGAACAAATAGGAGTGTGTAAAAGTTTTCATACATTAAAGAAAAGTACAAATATGCAGAAAAATTGTGTCGAAGAAAAATTCATTGCAGCTACACTTTAACAGAACGAGTATCAATGTTAGCCCATAGCTCATCCTTGGTTAACCCAACAGCTCTTACGGAATAATGATTTGGACGAGGTATATTGTTGTTCGAATCACATCGGCCCACTTACTTTCAGCGCGTAGGGGCTTTATAAAGGTTTACAATGTACGTTGCGTATACTGGGTCCCTAAGCATATTTCATATCAAACTCAAGAATAGAAAGGACTAATCATCCATTATCACGGGTATTCACAAGTCAACAGCCACTGGCGTTATACCAATTTGTGTGATGTGATAAAGGCAGACCTCCATTACGGACAAGTCTGTCAGTCACTCACAGCGTCCGCAGCTTAACCTGGTGAAAGGCTTTATCATCGCCTAGCTCTGCAGTCTTCAAAACGAAAGTACAGCAGCCCACGCCCGCGTGCCGGTCCAAGCTCGTGTGTACTTGCGCCTCTTGTCAACATGTCAAAAAAGAATGGCCGTGCTGGCAGCTAACTGTTTGTGTTTACGTAATCACCGAGTATTATTACTTGATTTTGTTTACTGTAGGGCGTCATTATGCACACAGACTCTGTTTATCTATCAATTGGCATCACGTATATGTGTAAGCGAACACCAGACCAGTCGCTATCAATTATGAGTTTTGTTCCGTGCCCACAGACTAAAGAAAAATATGCAGACTTGCAAAGACCGTGGTTGAGCGCTGAAAGGTGTTGCCAGTAAAGCTTCGCAAGTGCGTAAAATGCGGTGGTCTAACTGTTGCTGAGTGTGTGACGTAAATGAACGCAAGCCTTTATTTCACTTTGGGAATTTAACAGTTGGAATTCCCGAAGCTTCTTATTTAAAGGTGTTTCGCTCCTTCCTAATGCAGAGACGTTGAAACTTAGATCTCCCTTACGGTCGTTGGTTATGGAGCTCAAACGTTTCTAAGTCATTAGCGATTTTCATTATCGTGTGGCTAAAGCCAAGATGCATCTTTTCGTTGTCATGGTTGACAACCTCCTTACTCTATATCGTGTCCATTCTGTATTATAATCTACGGTACAACGCGTACATAAATTGGTATGTACAGTAAATAAGCACGTCCTCGTTCTCAAACAAACATTCCAACTTATTCATATGCGTCCAAAAAAGGGAACATGCCGAGTCCTTGTGGACCGTGAGGAATACTGTTCTGCGCGCGGGAGCTCCTGTTTCCCATAATGCACTGCTAGAATCTCTTTGATGGCGCACTACATCGCCCCTTCTAAACCATGTGTCAAGGGATTTGAATAATATCCTCCGACTTGGTGTAATTATTGCCACGTCAGTATCTCTCCAACCTGAATTAAGTTACTGACGCCACGTGTATAGAATGATAAACCGCTACCACCAATCAAGGGCGCCACAGGGTCAGTGTTTACTTTAGATACGAAGTTCGATTGTATATCTCCCCCCCGCGCTTACCCATACATGTAAGTGTGACTGCTTTGGATTTGACACTCCCTTGAACTCTCGTGTTTATTCGGGCCTGGCCAAAATATTAAACCAACCCGCGGAGCCTTTCACTGTAGGAAGTACCCCTACCCGTCTACCCACAATACAGCGCGAGCGAAACATGGCGGCTTGTCGAGGAAAGTTGACACCATTGGAAATTGTTCAGAAATTCAAAGAGCACTTCCAAAGAAAACATGTTTGTTTTCTCTGGTTTTATCTGTTCAAGTAATGAACATATAATGGATAAACCCTTGTGCATGCCAAACCATGGTTACATGCATTGTTTGGCATGCACAAGGGTTTATCCACTACGAACACTGGGCGAGGGTCCCCCTCGTTTTCTCTGTTTTCTCCTCAATGACGTAATCTACATTCAGGATTCGCATCTTGGCATGAACAGAAAAAAAAACCTTTTCAACTTTTTAAAGTTGAGCTCTGAAGACAAATAACACTGCGTTCGATTGGGACGCCTCCATATTTATTTGAATAGATAAAAGCAGAGGAAACATATTTTCTTTCGCGGTACTCTTCAAAGTCGCTGTTTGTTGTGGCAACGTGGCACAAGTCAAGTAAGTTCTATGCAAGAAAGGCCTGAAATGTATGTGAGGATGTCGACAGTTTGAATGTATTGGCAGCATGACTTTGGGGGGGGGCCTGGTTAGAGCACCTCAAGTTGCCCGAGATCGCTCGTTCCTACCAAAGATTGCCGCGTGCTCGTCTAAACTTGTGACGTCACCTTGGGTAAGAGCGAGGGAAGTAATCCCCCGACAGCAAAAAAAAAAAAAAAACTGGTGTGCGCGACGAATTGTGATGTTTCAACGGTTTGCCGAACTAGTTTTCTGTCGTGCCGACAAATGCGCCGAATAAAGAAAGCGGTTTGTGCGTGGTACACAAAATAGCACCTTTCATGAGATTATGTGCTTGCGGCCGCTGATGTCGGTCTGGAAGTATCTTGTGTCTGATATATTTGCATTAAGTCATCAATTCAGAGTAAACATGAAGTAGAGTCAAGTTGGTTTATCTTTTGTTGTGCATGAATATGATTTGCTCATTGTAAGCAATAACAAACCTAGTCATAAAAATGATTTTGAAGGAGCATAGAAACGTTACATTAATATTTGCAGGCCTTCGATTCTTCAACCTTTTATCGGCATCTCGTAACTTTCAGTTTAATTTCCTTTACATTTTTATCCGTTAAAATTAAGCAAGTTCACGACGTAGCCGTGTTTGATTGAACATCGATGATCATAGTATTTCTCTGAAGGATGTAATACAATGCGAACTGTTCCAACAATCTTTGTTACATGTCAATTATTCGTTATTATCATTATGATGCTTTGTTTATCAGTGTTCGGACCGTGCTTTGTAATCCCTTTGGCGAAGTCCTTCAAACGTACTCTCAGAACGTAAAACTGTTTTACTGACACATGAGTTAACTGATAAAATGGATTTTCATAGAGGATTGTTTGCCCCAAACTAATTTATATGCCAATAACCACACTATTGAGTGTTACAGGACTGCAGAAGCAGGGTATCGTAGAAACTGTGTGGAAGTAACTTGATTACGCCGTTTCATTTTTGTTCTATTGTATAGGTTGCTGGTCATTATGACGGCGTAGCTAAAAAATACACACCCGTGCCGGGCGTAGTCATCGACTGGCCCGGTAAAACTCCGCCCAAAGATGTACCAGACTGCGGCTTCAAGGGGGAATTCTGTATCGAAGAGGATGACACTGGTTGTAAGTAAACCTCCGTTGAGATGGAAGCTGCTGTTGAGATTGAGAAGAAATACTCTTGGGAGAAAATCACAAACGTGCTGTCAGTCAGGAGAAATAATGGAAATTGTTTCTCGGAGTTTTTTATTTGAGACATGAACTGATAGGGAAAGTGTGCTCTCGAGCAAAAGTTCAATGTTGCATTCAGTCAATAAGGATTCGATTGAAACTTTGTTTTTCTAACAGTAATAGGCCATGAATTCGGCTCTTTTTAGTTCGCTGGTTTTGTAGGCAACTTTGATTTTCTTGTGAAAGATTTCGTCCACTGAGGGTTCCGTTTGATTTCAACGAATTTGGTCCTTTTCAACTTTATCCAGGGTTTTATTTACATTTGTTAGCCTTCGTAGAATCCAGGAAAGCCACTGTTATATTGGTTACTATATAACTTTAAACTCTTCTTGTTTCATCAAACAGTCACAGTCATGATAATGATGATATCCATGGTAGTCGTCATCATTGTAGCCGCTATAATCATCATCTATGTTGTCAGGTGAGTCAAGGTGTTATTTGAGTGTGAGAAATGAGGCACAGTACAAATGAACCATTTTAACGTGACAAAAATATCGATGGTTTCTACCCAAAGGTATGAGAAGCGCCCTCTTGTGAAAAATAGTACCATATACTTAGAAAAATAGTACCTCACTCCTGGATATATCAGTAAATCGTCAGCAATTGCTTGTCAAAAATTGAAGTGTTGTCGTAGAAATAGCACAGTATAAAGTCATTGACCTGTACAATCCAAAGTAATACTCATTTTTCCCAAAATAATCGTTGGAAAGTGTTGTTTTGTTTTCAAGCTCAAGCTTAATATGCATTGTTTTCGAAACTGAAGATTTCACTTAAATCTGACGATGCCCTGTGGAAATAAAATCGATAACTTAGGACAACAGCTTTTTGGTCCTGTCAAGTGAAATTTACCACAGCATTTAAAGTGCTCGCGCCATTTAGCACCGTTTAATATATGAGATCGTTGGGAAAGGCCAACAGATGAAGAATACTTAATTGAACAGGGTTCTGTTAAGTTAGGTAAAACTTCAAACTAACAGGATTCTGAAATGATGATTCTGAAAAAGTGTCAATGTTACAGAAGTAAATAATGTCATCACCTTGTTACAGACTGACAGAGGTAAATTGGAAAAGTTTAACTACGGTGTTTTTTCTGAAAAAAACTCATTAAAACTCTAAAACTGCACAATTGATACGGGCGATTCACAATAGTGCGCCTCCAAGAGTTTGCAACGCATTGAGCAATCACAGAGCGCGAAATCTGTCGACCCTTTCCAAACGTGCATTGGGTCGTGATTTTGTAATTGGTCAACGTGTTGCAACCTCTTGGAAGCGCGCTGTTGTGAAACGCGCGTATTGAACAACCACTGCGTTCTTGAAATAATCATCAGTTTCATCAAGTTCAGAAGTAAAAAGAAACTGCAAAGAAGTCAAGAACCAAAAACAGCTGTGTGACAAGTTACGGTTTATTTTTGTGATTGCATACACTCGCAAGGTAACTAGTGTTGGGCGATTCCAGCATTTTTGGAATCGATTATTCCCGATTCCGAAGTGAATTCTTCCAAGCCCAATTAGGTAACCTGCTTAAACTTCCATTGGGCAGAACAAAAAACTGAACTATTATGAAAATGAACATATCTCTGCGACGCAAAGTGAGCTTCAAGTAAAATTTTCACTATGTGTAGAAAACACTCTAAACTTTAATCCTGTACCTTTAATTTGTTTTTTGGCCATTAGTTTGGGAGAAAATGAATGCTTTATGGGGGTGGTGGTTTCATTTTGGGGGGACACGCTGTGCAGTAGCTGGACTTGTTATGCCCGCTTGGTTGGCCTTTTTTACTCGAAGCCTCTGTATTAGGCAATGGAGCAACTAGTCGTTATGGGTTTCTATACCAGGTTTCCATTGTAACGACTTGACAATCATAGCCGTCATTAAAAAATGCATGTTTTTGTCAAGGGAGAAAGGTCAACGGAGTGTTTCTCCCTTTTTCCGGAAGAGACTGATATTTATTCATTCGAAGAGGTATATGTTTTGCCTTCTGTCCAGCATGTCTTTAGAAAAAAGTGAAATCCTTGACTCAAATTTAAATCTGACCCCGGGGTGATCTTGTTGGGTTGGACATAAGTGACTCGTGACTCTTTCGTTCGATGGCTTGTTCGTTGTCGCTGTCCAACCAACCTGTCCAATTAAACTTTCCAAGCTATAAAAGGAGAGGGATCGTCCGGGGACGGCTTCGTGATCGAAATGAAGGTTGAAGTTTTCCCGGGGTTTAAATTGCAAAGAGATGACAGTGGTCATGTTTGTGGGTCGTGCCTGACGGTTATCCTTCGAAATCTGGTTTGGCCTCTGCTGGTTGCCCATTAGATGGGGCAAACACGGATATGGTCTCAAGCTAAGAGCTCCCGGTTAGAAAAGCTTTACTCTTTGTTTTGGCCCAAAACTTGTCTTGAATATTTCCATCCTTCTCACGCTCTATGCATTTGCATAATGCATGATTTGCATGATCATATTAACGAATCGTGTGTTGGGCTTCATGAGTATACATGTACTCTGACAAACGGAAGATGTAACACTTCAATGCCTATTGGCCGTTGCTCATTTTGTGTTCAACATCTCGCTCGGACCACATCGTGAATACACGGTTTTATTCTGTAGTCATTGAGCAACACTGGCACGTACGTTTCTTCTCGATGTTTGATCCTGCGTAATGGAAGGGGTATCACCGTTACGAATTTCCATTAAACAATCAATCAACATTGCTACACCTGAGAAGCCATTGCACGTGTGCAGACTTGCTACAGATTTGTGTCAGCACGTGAGTGACATGGAGGCTTACATTGAGTGAAGGAGGCTAAAGGGTTGTGAACGAGAAACAGACGATCGCGGGGAAAGGCAGATCCAAAACCAAAAGTTTGGGGGAGGGCAAAGTGTTTGAGGGTCCATAAATTTGAATTTTCACATTCATCGTTGACTAGCCTTTCTTGGAGAGGTGGCTATATTTTATGGGCTTTTTAACCCGCTTTTGGAAGGAAGGGAAATGAAAACGACCTAAAATATCGCCTTTCTCGCATTATTCGCCATTTTTTTTTCTCCTTTACGAGGCTATGGCCCCATTACTCCTCTTGATCTGTCCTCGGAAACTTCAGTGATATCCGCGCAGATTCGGTGATTCAATATACGTGATATCTATTTCATCGCCCATCGAGCCAACCATGAGATAGTTTGCGAAGTATATATGGCATCAAGACGGGTTTTTTTTCATTCATCCCATTCACCATTTATTCTCGTTAGAGTACTGAGTTAATGAGTAGTCGTGTTGCAGTGGAACAGGTTTCATTAGAAAACACGCTGGAATCGGTTCATTAAAAGAGCGCTCTCTTGCGGCGGCACGCAGCATCCCAGCCCGCCTCTGAGTGGGGTAAGCATTTACCTGCAGATTCGTGATGTTGAGGATCTCGGTTTCGAGTGACGAAAATGTCTGCAAGTTCTGTTGGGCATTCTTAGCCCATGAGTGATGAGAATGTTTTTGACCGCTTGATGCCAACGTAATGGATGTTGCTTTCAAACACGACGGCTGGAAGGTCCGCACACACAGCGACACTCTATCAGTCTCGCAGGTTTCTGTCAACAGGAAACACCGAAATATTTTTGCCATGAACCACACATGGTAGTTTTATTCAAAACCGGGGACTTCAAAGTAAATGCGAAATTAAATTAAAGTCTTCGAATGTCAGATACTTTCTAGAAATGAAAATACATCTGTCAACTCCATTATAATTTCCCTGGCTCAGTGAAGAATGATGGCCTGTTGGCTTAAGTTGGTGAAGAGGTCTGCTTGCATCTTCATCACTGAATTATTCATGGGACATTCACATGATACGGCTTATCTGAGAGCTTTGGTGAAGTACTTGCACTTCTCCGCATCTCGGGAATGTGTACGAATCCGAAGCCATAGCGGAAATAGACGAGAGGCTAATGAACGTCGGATACTTCACCAGGCCAGACCTGTACTTCAGCCGGTAACCGCGTACCTATCGAAAACACTCAGCCGACATCTGGTGGGTGCACTTTGTGATTTTTCACGGATAAACAGAGGTTCAGGTTAGCCGGGGATTGGCGGGTTGTCAACTGGAGTGGATGCCAATTAAAGACTGCGGTGAAATTTTACACCATTTTTGAGTGATGGCATATGCTTGGCAATTTTTGTGCGTCGTATTTAAAATGAATAACCGTACCAAATCCGACCTGCTGCATTTTGTCTCCCCGAATTTTGGCACTTTCTCATGGGAATAGCAATTTTTTCATGTCAGTGTAGCACTGATTTGTAGAAAAATGGCACAAGGAAAAAAGATCTGAAACTTAAAATAACTGGCTCACCACGCTTACGCGGTGTTCCTTCCCCCAAAAGTAGCGAATTTATGTCAGCTATAACTTAAGACAAGGCGAAATAAACAGGAATTGAAACCATGCGTATTGTATGCATGCTGTGAATGAATCACAGGCTGATTTTAATCATTGAAGACTTCTAAGATAATCATGAAGAAGTTGTTTTTGCTTCCCTGCATTACTTGTTAATGTGTTCGATTCCCTGCGTTGTCAACACATGTGTATAACTTATCAAAACAATCGCGAGCCGGATCAAAGTTAAAAACCGTTTGATGGCCCCGCAAAATGCTGTGCTTGATGTGAAAATTTCGATTTCCCAGTGATAGTTGAGAACCTACCCACTTTACAGACATCGATGTGATGGCGAGATAAGTAACTTTGAACGTGCCGCAAATGTAAAAACCAACTATTAGCCGAGGCTGTGCGTGGCGTTTGTTCTTGTGTCATCTGAAATTGCGCACGATTTGCCGTACTCTCTATAAGAACCTAGGAAACTAATCCCAACAGTTTGATTTGCAAGTCTCTTCGTTCCCGGAGACGTTGAGTATAATATTTCCGTCATTACACTCGCTCAGACTATATCAGGGTGTACCAGAATCATGATGCCACCCAGAAGTTGAGGATACATACCTTCATTCTCATATCTCCAAGGAAAGTTCGAAATTAATGTGCACGACGGTGACACTTTCATTATTATTCCACACATTAAAAAAAATCTGGAGGGTCTGTTAAGGGTTTTCGGGGGATGGGTTCACCCATACCTTTTTTGCTAATATGACAGCGGTACATGTGGTTATTTGTTGTAACTGGGCGCAGTACGTTGCTTATATACCTATTTGTAACATTGTGGAGGTTTGTTAATGCCCTCCATTGATCAGACTTGAAGCTAACTTAGGTATTAGTTATTGAGGCTTGCGATTGCACCATGTACAATGTTCTATGAGTGTGAGGTTCTGAGCCCTACCTAATTTAATGCCTTTCGTTGTTGAGATGCCTCCAGCAAAGCCTGGGACAAAACAACCTAACGTAGCTTTGTATTTTGCCAAACGAAATTCTGCAACGTGCCAGCTATAACCAATGATATCACACCACACACGTTAGATGGGAGCTGCTCCAAGTGTAAGAGATGTCTAAAACAATAATTACTTCAAGGCAATAGAACATTAATACCATACACAAATTCTATTCTTTCAAGCAAAAAGGGTGTAGATTTTCAGACATTGGGGGTTGGACGTGTGAGGGTACCACAGTTTTGTTTTTAGGCCTAAAATGTTCTTCCTTTACGGCTCGATTGCATTAGGAGCTTGCGTACGATATCTGCATCTCTCAATATCATGCAGATACATCGCCAAGCGATGCCACTTTGTCGAGATACTCCTGGTTTCAGTTACTTCCGGATCGTTTTGTATATGCCAGCCATTTCAATGTCCAGTGTTGTTGTAGAACTTGATACGCTTCTTCTTTGCTTGCAATTATTGCCGTGACTGCCTCGATAAAATAAATTAATGACAGCGCCCAAGCCGCAATCTGCTGTCTGGTACTTCGACTTCTGCTGTATCAAATGAAGTTATCCTTGGACATATGGGAGATGACAAGAAGCCTTTTTTGCTTTCCCTTGTTCGCAGTAAAGGCGTCCTGTGGGAAATCAACGCTGCCCTTTTCGTTTCGAGTGGTTTACAAAATAAATCATTCAAGATCAATTGCGAGGATGTTGTAGAGCGAAGCAAACTGCATTCTGCACTGCCCGATAGAAATAAAAGTGATAAATATGTTAGGAGGTCACACAGATTCTGTCTTTCAACAAAAAGACAGGTGATGTAGCTCGCCATTTACAATGGTATGATCCTATGTAGCTTACCGCCTTAAGTATGCATCTGTCAGCAAAGAGCCAAATCAAACGCCTTAGTTGCAGGTGCTCATTCAACCTCTGAGCTAGGGAGGAACAGTTGAAAGCAACGTGTCTTGCCCATGGACACATGCCCCATAACTCCACCAGTTGAATGTGAACCCCACATTGCGCAGAATGCAGTGCAATGACGCAGCACACACCGCAACCTTCAATGCCAAAAGAGTTGCCAACTTGTCCGAATTTTGTATCATGAACCATTGATTCTCTTATTTCGTGTTCTTGGCAGGACGGTACTCAACATAAATCCATAAAAAAAATCAACAATAACGGCGATTGACAATAGTGCGCCTCCAAGAGTTTGCATCGCGCTGACCATTGACAAGGCGCGAAACCTGTAGACCCTGTTCAAACGTGCATTGGGTAGACAGATGTTGCACGCTGTGACTGGTCAAGCGTTGCAAACTCGTGGGGGCGCAGTATTGTGAAATGCCCGTATTGTCAGGAGGGGTCTTTCTTGTATGCCGTACTTGTACATATGTAACAACAAGCTGTCTTTTCGCTTTATTGTTTCCAGAAAGTACAGACTTGAAATGGAGTTGGCCAACATGGTGTGGAAGATCAAGTGGGAAGACATCACTTTCAACAACAAGATGGACAAACAGCGCAAACTCACCGGCAGCAGAGTCAGTCTGGCTTCGGTAGGTTAGCCCCCCAAAACGGGCCCCGGTCAGGAGGACTTGCGTGGACTGCATATGATTCTTATTGGATCATTCCTTAAACTGAATGTGGAGATTTTTAATAGTACAGTCAACCTTTCTTTGCAGTACGCGACTCGATCAGTTACCACCACTTATTGTTAAAAAGTCTTTTGGGAATTAGAAAAAAGCTGTCAGTTTTTTAAGACAAACTTGCTCTAATCTAACTTTAATGCTTGGAAACACCCAGGTTGCCTCAGTTTAAAAAATGCAAGATTTTTTTCCTATAAAATCTCCCATATGTTTTTAATAATACATCTCCGCCAAATAAGATGACCCACAAAATGCTCAGAACCACTTCACAAGTAGGGTAGGGCAGTCTCAATGCATCAATTTAGACCCCATTTACACAGATGAACGGTAACCAAATGCGGTGAGAGAAAACGCTATGCAGCGCCATATTTCAAATTTACACACACAAAGCGAAGAAACTCCGCATACGCATCACTGACTCTCCACGGTGACAGTATTGCACACAGGAAAAATTCAAGACACGACGTGGGCCTTAACCATGCCTGTCAGTCGTTACGGCTAAGGAGACCGATGATTGGCCAGAACGCACCGCATTCGCAGCGCTGTCTCTTTGCAAAAAATCGCTCAGGTTTTAAAATTTTCGGCTCATTATCGTGTGGTTGTGGTCGCTCTCAGGAAACCAATGCATTCGATATTTTACCGAGCAGTGTTTCTTTACCACTCTGTGTAAATGGGCCCGTAGACTCTTAGAACCCGCTCAGAGTGTGTCGTTGCCCTGATGACATTCCACGCGGATCAATATAGTGAAAGTCTGGTTTCCAGCCGAGGTCGCCCAACAAACTTCTCGTTCATAATACTGTCGCTCAAGAGGGCGCTTGCCCGCAGCCAGCGTGGGCGGGAGTGTAACTCCGGACACTTGATTAACTCGAAGATGTGGGATTGCTGGCATGAAAGAGGTTTCGTTAGTGTCACTAGGAACTAGCACGCCTATGCTGTATTGGCCGTTCGAGAATTGCAGTCATCAATCCTAAAATGTTGTCAGGTTCATTAATTCCTACAAATTGGGACACGCGCAAGAGGTCCCACTCGCGTTAATTCAGGAAGCAAGCAATGCGCAATGATACTATTGACACGTATTTATTACAGCGAAACCACAATTCAACTAAGGTCAGTAAAATGTGCTTATAAGTACAACCTCGGCGCCGTGTACTTCTGAAGCATAGTCATACAAGTGAGGAAGAAAGCAGTTTGGATCACTTGGTTCGTTATTGGAATGGGAAACAAAATTTACTTCAGCCGATGCTCATGCTTATCAATGAATGATAAACAAGCACGACGCAGATTGGAATACGACCACCATAGCCTATATCTTAACAGCTGGATACGGATTGTTGTACAAAACACAATTGTACAAGATGGAAAAGAAATTTATGTCACTTTGCATTCTAGGGCGTCGGAATTTGATTCGCCCGACCATTCAATAATATCCTAGCAAGGCAAGAATCCCCTTTGAAGTCATTTTCAATTAGGCGAGCCGTTAAATCTGATCCATCAGAACCCATCTGCCGTGCCTGGCATAGTTCTGAAGTCTTGGCCGCCATGCATGACAGGAATTTCGTGTATGAAGTTCACGTTCCGTCCACTGCTTGGTCTCAGCGGCCAGTGCGATTATTGGTCACCTGAAATAACAGCCGTGATTCCGGGAGTCGTCTGTACAGCTGAACTAGGGTTCTTCGAATCGCGGCACAAAGCTATCATAAGGCCGAGCAATTCTCCGCATCGGGCGATGTGTCTGTGCACGTGGTATTTTTTTGTTGAAAATCTGAACGCCTTTATCTAGCTGAAACATTTCATCGCCCAGCTCCACAGTAGTTGACCTGGAAATGTCACCCTAATGTGTCAATGTCTTCTTGAAAACGTCATGGTGTAGAATTACTTTCTTTACGTCACTGTTGCCCATCTTGGGTTGCATGTTATCTGATTCACACGACTTGTGATTTGAATTCTTAAACGCAGCGGGTGTGCGCTCCAACTGAACGAAGCAATGCCCAGGGGAGAGACTTTGCGATGTTGGCCATGTTCCTTTTAGATTTTAAGCGACAAAACCACAAAACAGAGGAGAGGTTTCATTATAAACGCAGTCAATGGCAGTTTCAATAAAGATCCTGGTGTTGAATAACCTCACTGTTCTTTTGCACATATTTTTGAGTGGCGATTGGCTATGAAAATGATAACCCACACGCTTTGTTACAGTTGTCTCCTCGTTCTCGTGTCTATAACAGTGGCGCTTTAATGCCTCCATTAGTGCATTAATTTATGACGGCACATATTTAGAAACATCGATCTCTCATAAAGGCCGTACCGGTCAAGTGTAAAAATGACAAGATGACACAAACACGGCAAACGGTGTTTTCATGTCACGTAAACATTCCAAATTTTATGCTTTCAGATATGCGGCCTGTATTTTGAGCGAAAGCAGAGGGACCATAAATGGAGTAAAACTTTTTCGTTCGTTTCTGGTTGCAATTATTTCTTTCAAAAGTTGCTTAATTAAAAAAAATCGATTCGTAAATCCCAAGGCCGTTCAAGTGGGAATAAAGAAAAATTGATAGATTGTAAATTTTGACGTAAGGGTGGACTGCAAAGTGTCTATAAATAATTTATATTTTTTATTTGCAGTCTATGTGTTTATCTTTTTAGTTTTTAGCATTTTCTAGTTCGTGAATGAGGCATTACGGACAGAGATATGGGTAACACAGGGCCATAATCGGTTCGCCTAGCCATCACACCATTGATTGTCGATGCGGCCATCTAGGCCCTGATTCATAATTCCACAGCCCGCCGCCAGCTGTCTATTGCGGCGCGTCTGTAATTTCAGACCCGCAGAAATGCGCGATTGCTGGTAAATCAATATCCGTACGGCTGTGCCTGAAACAGCCGTCTGGCAGGCCTCACCGAACCATGCCTGTCGTAACGGTAGCCGAACCGCCGCTGCACCCACCGCCTTGTGCGCCTCCACGCTGCTGATGCAGACGAGGTTGATGAGCCTCGCTCATTGAGAGACAGAATCTCGTGGCCGCGGCATTCGGAAATGAGCATTGATGCCCGCTAACGAAGGAGCCGCAAACCGCCGATTGTTCAGGCCGATGCATTTATCGCAGGGCTTATCTCACGTTGCTCAAATTTATTATCATCAAGGAAATTTACGCTCGGGGTCTCCAGACGTGTGCGTCCACCCTGTTGTGTGTGAATGGGTGACTTCAAGGAAAGAACCCATGTTTTTCTTTTTTTTCAATGAAACTCCTCAAGTCAAAAAGAGATAAAGGGCCCCCTTGTCTTGGCAGTGACTTGTTGCAGCGCACTCCTTCGCTGTTACTATATTGTCAAGATGGTTCCAAAATTTCAGTTCGACTGTAGGCCTGTTCACTGTGAACGCCTTTAGGCCTATATATACGCTGTCTATGCAGAACGTCCCCATGCAAATCTAAGATGTCTGAATTAAAATAAAACAGTACACTCCCTGTTCATCCTGCAGAATTGAAATGACTCGTCCATGCTGTGTTGCAGCGGCTTGATCAGATCAGTTGAGGATTTTGAAGGATATGCTGACCAATTACGACCTGCCCTGAGCCCCCGAAACAGGATACCTTACCTCCGAGTCGCTTCGTGAAGTAACTCATTATTCTGGCTCCGGTTATAAAGCATTATGCTGACGAAAATATCCGCGAAATGAATATTATGTTGTGCAGTCATCTGTGCGGCCCCTCTGGGTTGGCCAACATCTATAGGTTAGTGTCTCGGCGACAATGTATCCCCTCCACACTAAGACAAGAATAGCAACCGCCTTCGAGTTGTCAAGGCAACGAGATTCCGTGCGGCCAGTTTGAACGGTCGATACGCAAGTGTATGGCACTCGATACCGAGCTTTACTTCAAAGGGTACCGGTGTAGGGAAGTTGCCGCTCTATTCAGAGTTTGGTAACATCATCCAGGGTTCGACACACTTACACTTTTGTCCAGAATTCTTCGAAAGCAGATGAAGCGAAGCAGGAGTTATGGCTTATGATGGTATTGTTATCCCTGGAAATTCATTTAAAATTGTATGACCCACCATAAATACTGAAACTGGAATGGTGGAAATTTAACATAATTTCTATCGTCTGTCATGCTCGCAGAAATTCCACTTGTCCACTGTGTGGTGAATTCATCAACAGTCAGAAAAGCCCTTAATACAAGTAACTGAATACTTTCCATTTTCTTCTCAGGGCGAGTCTGGACAAAGCGTATGGGGAGGCAACCAGCAAATATTTACGGTTACAGGTTACTACAAGGTGAGATCGAGGTTGTTGGATCCTTTTGTCTTGAATTGCGCGAAAAGAGGGTATTTATCAACTATTTGTGATTGGGCAACGGTGATAAAACCTGGGGTACCGACTTGTTTAAATATTACAATTTAAACTGAATTCTTCAAAGACTCTCGATCCAATGACAAGCTCACATGTAAAAAAAAAAGCTGTGCACAAAGGCATCTTTCACATTGGTGAGAATGCAGAAGGATACCCAATCTGAATATTGTTGACGTATTAAACTTGCCTTCCCCATATCGCGTGACGTGCGAACGGCGTTCTCAGTCTTGAAAATTCAGATTTCAACTTAATAAGACAATGTTCCTCAACTAAAACTGTGAGTACCCAAACATTTTATCCCCAAATAAATTGATTTGAAAATTAAGATATGCACTAAACAATTGCACCCAGAATACCAGCTTTCCCACATTTCATTGAAATCTATCACGTGTTCTTTTTCTGTCAAAAATGCTTAGAATAGAAACGATTTGAAACTAAACTGTCCTTGTATTCACGAGGTAAACGTTTTATCCTTCAAGCTTCAGGATGCTCTCTCACGGAGTATTCATTGAAAGATCTTAACAACACAAGGACTAGGGTTTTCCCTGCCATTCAGATTCGAAGATTAATTTTCCTGTACGATATATATGGAGAAAGATAAGTGTTCGTGACAATCAGATAAGAACTTGAGAATGCCAACCTACCCGTGTTCGACTCGTTTTATTATTTACATGTTCTACTTTGTGTTGCAATGAAACAAGAATCTTCTATAGACTTTTTATCACATACATCTTGGATTGTCAATTCCGCGGGATTCCCTCAAGACTATGCTTGATCAGGCATCGTCAATATTATTTCGAAAATGTGATCTCACTAAGTATATTGTCACAGCACTGGTCACCAACAATTTTCGCCGCCAACCCTGTAGGGAGAATATAGTGCAAATGTAAATCTTAACCTTTTTGTTGAGGTCGCGAAACACGAACGCCATTTTGGCCGTGTGCAGTTGTGCCCGTCCCGTTCACTTCGCCGATTCTCAGCGATTGTCCTTTCCTATCAGCCACACCACTGGAGACGCATTGCTTATCTGTTGGGCAATTGAAACCATCAAGTGCTTCGTGTGATAGAGACCTGGGATTCGCGTTAGCGCTTGCTGACCTCACTCTGTCTAATTTAATATTTAACCACACGACCTGCTTCTCGCAACGTTGAAAACGAATATACTTTTTTTTTCCGAAGCCAAAGAAGTGGGTCTAGTAGGATTGCGGGATTGTACGGCAAGCAGTTGAGCGCAATTAAAAAGTGGAGTGCCATAAATTAATGTATAATGGTTATGCCCCTAACACGTTAAAGCAACCTCTGCATTAATTCCACTGAACCTCAAGGGCTGACCCGGACCGAAACTGGCTGTCGTGAAAACAAGAACTATTTGCATTGCCGCTTTTTTTCTGTTTGTTCAATCGATTCGGCGGTAAGTGGTCGCCCCGTTCTGTCTCGTTACTGCACGCTCACGGGGACAGGCTGTCGATATATTACTGAAAGGCAGACACGACTTGGGATTTTCCGTCTCTTGAATGATAATGCATAAAATTTGTTAGCATCTCCAGGAAAGTAAATAATGTTCATTTCAAAACAAAATTGAAAAAAATAGCATCTTCCGCGTGGTTTGTGTATAGAGCCAGTTATAGTTTTTATATTAATGTATAAATATCTTCAGGAAATAATCATCTGTGTAAAAAGGAAATTGACCTACAGATTTAGACTTTCACATATTTGAATGCATCACCAGAACCTTTATTGCTGCCGAAAACTGAGAAGGTTTGTCGTAAAATACCAAATTTCAGAAATAATTTAACCCACCGGCTTACTAGACACGTAATAACGCATTTTCAGTCTTCCTCTTTGCATTCCCGTTAATTGCAACGGAGAAACATTTCGGTTCTGGACAAAAGAAGGAGGAGCGTCCGAGGACTTGTATCTGTTGACCCAGTTTCTCCTTTGACCCGCAGGGAAACATCATAGCCATCAAGAAGGTCAATAGACTCCGAGTGGAGCTCACACGAAACGTTTTGATTGACTTCAAGCATGTAAGTTGGCCTCACAGTCAAGGGAGAGAAAAAAAAAGAGGAGAACCCGCCTCAAGAAACTTTCCAAAATCCGACGAAAGGGGAAATGCATGGAGTGAGCCTTAAGTCACTCTTCAAGGACCTGTTGTGTGCAAATAGCGACAGCGGCCCGGGGATACTCAAAGTAGGATTTAAACGGGATGAACGTGTCGGCCCTTGTTTATTGCTAAATTGGTCGAAAGGTGGTTTCGTTATCAATGCATAATGTCGGGTACAGTTCCCATTAGTTTATCCGCAGCCTTGGTTTGCCCGTAGGTACTTTTGGACCCCTATTTGTGGAATTGTATACATTAATTCAGCGGTTATTCTCTCATTCTACTTGTGTTGCTATTTGTAGCTGTTTAAAGAGAACTGTGGGGATTATTTTTACCGGATTTTGCAAGACAGAGGAAAGGAAAATCATTCTTGTGCCCTGGTAGTGGAATCCAAGTAAACATCATTACGAATCATTTAGTGGCTGAGGGAAATGCGTTACAGACTATGTGCTACTTTTATCTTTATATTCTTTCTTCTGTTTCCTGCATTTCTTTATGTTACTTTGTTACCATGAATTATCAAAAACCGATCCAATCTCAATCTTCAACTGACGCACTTTCAGATGCGGGACATCTCGCACGATCACGTGACGAAATTTATCGGGGCCTGCATTGACCCACCAAACATCAGCGTGATGACGGAGTACTGTCCCAAGGGCAGTTTGCAGGTGAGTTGGGTCCCAGACTGATCAAATGAAAGCTGCCGTGTATTATGTAGTCACTAGCGTGACCAGCCTCGGATTGTTTTCCTACCGTGCGGCATGTGGAGGCACCTGGACGAGTGATCACTTCACACCTAAGAATCCTCCGGTAACGGAAAAGTTGTTAAAAAGCAACCGTCGGGTGCCAGTTATTGTGCAGCAGACCCAATGGTTTCACCATTATTGCGATTTTTCCATATATATTCTCCCCCACATTCATCCATTACCCGCTAACCATTCTATACAGCGTCGTGCTTAATGGTCTGTAGGAAGAGGCAGCATATTAAACCTCTTAGATGTTAGACCGCTCTATGGTCAGACCCACCCCCCCCATTCCCCAAAATGTTTGCACGTTGCTGCGACACAACACACTATCAAACATTGACAAAATGTTAGTCTCTTTCATGGGACGGACGCACGGGGTTTTCTACGCCGTCCCTTGTTTAGGAATTTCTCCCTCATCACGTTTCCTTTCGGAGGTGTGATTCATGGGAACCATGCCTTGCGTTCTTGAGATGCATAGACAAAAATAAACTTGTCTACATTCATCCCTTCGTGCACATGCGATTAGATTTTTTCTTTTCTTCTTTTCTGATTGAAGGGGGTTTGGAGATTGCAGATGGCATAGGATTCAGAGAAAATTTTTGAGCAAGTAAATGCGGCAGCCTCCAATGAACTCTGCGGTATTGACATGAAGCTAAACATTCTTTTAACGTAGTTGCTTGCGTAATTATTAAGTTACTAAGATAAGTTACGCCTGCAAAATTGAGTTTATGAAATACTTAAGGCACGTGAATTGAGTGTGAAACAGTATTAGATGTAATCCCTTGCTTTACTAAAAGCGTTCTTTTGTTTGAAGAAAAAGACAGTTGCCTTAAACTATATGCATGTATTTTGTTGTGTACAAAAGATGGCATTTGGCTCAAACTTGTGAGATTAATTTGTGTAATACCAGCATGCTCTTACCTGGAGCTCATATGTATTTGGAATGTTTCCCCGTGGCATTTTCAATTTTCGCAGGGATATGCAAACATTTTGCAGTAGATGCCACGGGCATGCCACCAGCATCGGAACGTAAGGAATCGGACCTCTGCAATTTTTCGAGGTAGACGACAAGACATCGCACTTTCATGCTAATCCTCGGCTGGCGCCAGGGCTCATTTGTATATTTCCAGACTTTCTCCTTCGTCGGCAACATATCCACGTTACAACGAAAGATAAAGGCTTCTGCCCAAACTGAAGTTGAACTGAACAGAAATGAACCTTATCTGAGACTTTGAAGAGTTCGGGGGGGGGGGGTTGGCGGGGAGTCGCACTGTGCTTGAAGATTGAGTAGGAGATTGTTATTTCGATATGAGATACCTGCGCTTTCAACAATGCTTAAGCTTAACGTTCCAACTGCAGATGAATTTCTGCGAATGCAAGACATGTTCTCTTTTCCTATTGTCTTTCCCCGTCTTACGTGCTCTGTTCCAATCGTGCGCGTGTTCGCTATTACAAAGGATAATCATGCGCATGAACACGAACGACGGATACGAGTTTAATATTGAATGGGTCCTATCTGCAGGGGCCTTTCGAGAAAATCTTTACCCTTGGCCTGGAAAGAGATCTTGAAAGAGTCTTCCTGGACTTCCAATCAATTTTGCCCAAATTGAAGACTTTAACAATCGAAGGAGATCAAGACATGATTATATGCCTGTATTATGTAATTTGATGGCTTTTTTCCACGGTGGACGGTTATTCCCGCGCCTCTACGACGTTTTACCCCAGTGCCGGATATGACTTTGCCTGGTTTTCTTTCCTATGCTTGCAGGTAGGGGGATTCTTCTATTAGATTAGGGGCCAGCAGGAATGCATTCTGGTACCGGTTAATGATTTTGTTTTCGTTGGTTGGGGGAGTCGTTTCTGCCTGTTTGGACACGACGATGGAAAGCCTACCGACCATCACGATACTGAAAGGAGTTTTAAATGACGGGATAATTGAGTTCGCAGAGTAACAATTTTCACCGAGTGATTCCTGGCACGCATTAGTTCCGTTCAGGCCTGCTTGAAGTTGCATGCGAAAAGTCTTTAATCTTTGCTTATACGAACAGGTAGCACGTGTTTATGTTCTCCAGACAGAATACACTGTAAAGGAGCGGGGCATAGAGTTTAAAAATCCGTGATGCCGTTAAAGATTTAGTACTGCCTGCAGCTGAATATTGAAAACACGATTGTCAGAATGGGTTCGTGAAACACGCCCTCTTGAGATCAGAATGTTTGTTAGCAGCTTTTAATAATTCAACACGTGTTCCTATTGACAGAGCAAACGCTCAAAAGTGGTCCCAACCATTATCAATATTTACTCATTTCACATCGATAATATTTGTTGACGGAGACTATTAACAAATCGAAAAGGAAACTCAAATTTAAAGCGCACCCAAATCGGTAGGTGGATTTTCGAGGTTTCGTCGATTTTTTGTTAATCTAATATGAGAGGTTTTTTGAACTCTAGAAATTGAGGGGAGAGAGGTCATGCCATACACTCACGGAATTTCGTTATTTCGCCTCGTGCTTTTAAAAGGCCGTTGAAGCGGCACAGCAATAGCCCTGTTAATTATGAAGCAGGGGTGAGATTTGTCAGGAGTTTTGCCTATTTCAGTTTAATTTGAACAGTCTCTTTTGGAATTTGGAGTGTCTTGGGTTTACTGTTAAAAGATGATGGAGAACAACATGCAACAGGTATTCTAAGGGTTCCTTCATGATTTGGCAAACACGAATGCCACTGTCTCATGGTCTGTAGATGGACATCTCAAAACCTATCTTCCTCCAATCTCATCTCTGAAGATCCCTATTTAGTTTATTTTTCGACATGAATCTCTTTTACCAACGTAGAAAGGTTGAGAGCAAAATATTGCAGAATAAAAGAAATGTGGAAACAAATCAAACAAAAGCAACGGTTTGAACCCGATCAACTAACCAAAATCGCGCTGTGTGATCGCGTTGTATGTCAACATGGATAAACGTATTGTCATAATCCTCAGTCGTACGCACACACATGTACGCTTCAAGAAAGATCTCGACCCATCGCGAGACCGTGCATCGATCTGTACTTAAAACTATCGCACTACAGTCAAGTTTATCAGCGGTGTTTGCTTTATTTGAAATAGGCCGGCTTTAATTTGTGAATAAGCAATCTACTGCGGAGATTGTCGAACCGGCGAATGTCCCAATGGGCCTACTCGTGCGACCATGCAGACCAAGTTGAACTTCCATATCATTGCATCTCACTCATGGCGATTGAGCGATTTCTTAAAAGTCGTTCAACGAAGCGCTCTTTCAATCCATAAATTCACGGCAATGAAGTTTAAATGGGCTCCATTACATTTACATTGTGACTAAGGGCTTCGCACTGTACGATCGCATTTGACCCTCCAAGTTTGCACCCCCTTTCTGATGATCATGGATCCGCCCTTAGCGAGGCCTGTATCATCAACTGATGTATGCAGAGTAGAAAGAGACCGATTTTACATTCCAATAGATAGAATGCAAGAAAAAATGCATCGACATATCTGATGATAAGAGGCGAGACCCTTTATCAGAATTCATGCGCCGGTATGCATGGATCATACGAATACATGAGGTATAAATGCGTTCCAGGGAAGAGTTGGTAAAAGACGTACGTGTGAATTGATGATACTAGGCGAGACCTAGTATCATCAGACGTGTGTGTACATAGCTGAAGGAATCTGATTTGTATTCCGAAACCTTTCAGCAATAATACCTGTATGTGAAAATGAAGAAATAATGATTGACGAGACTGGGCCCTTTAAGGTGTGTTATGTTGAATTATTATGAGTTCACGAAACGATATAGGGTCTTGTCTTATTCTATGCAGCATTGTCTAACATGAGTGGTCTCTTTTAAGGATGTTGGTATAATCATTGGTTATAACCTGTGACGTTTTCTCCTTTGTTTTGTAGGATATTTTGGAAAATGACTCCATCGAATTGGATGAAATGTTCAAGTATTCGCTGTTGTATGACATAGTCAAGGTGAGACCGTTGTAAGAAATTAACAATTAATCTTGAGCAAGAGGGGATTAATTAAATGGAATGAATTAATCTTTTAGCAACTGCCTTTAATTCTCTCTTGTTAAAATGACCTCCTTTCCTCACAACTGTCCGAAGAGAAGTAAGTACTCAAAGGGTTTATCTAAATTAGCAGCTTACAAAACGCTGGGTTAAGATTTGCTGACGCCTTGATTTAAATTTCAGTTCTGATGGAAACTTTTGCAAGGCCGCTAGCTAAAGGACACTTGAGAAATATAAATGATGCATCACTAGCTGGTCAACTTTGCCATTCAACTATTCATTTAACCACGTTCCCGATATCGGTTGGCAATTCCAGCCTTGTCTCTCTTGAGTGTGGCTGTCAGACGGAGGTGTTACTCAGAGTCCGGAAGTTAGTGGGAATTTTCAATCTTGTCGCGCGCGCTGTGCCCAAGATCGACTTGAACTCTAGTCCGGTGTCCTCGTATTCGTTGAGGGCGTCTCACGCAAAATCCACAAGCCGCTTGCTCTCGAGGTTTGATTGCTTTTGATATGCAGCCCAACCGTACATAAAATTTGGTTGTGTCTACAAAATAACACGAGTGTTAAGCTTAATCTACCCTCATATTTCCTTACCCATGAATGTAGAAATATTTTTAAGAAGGCACATAAGGATGAAAGGGTTGACTGTGTGCACACCAGTGGCCTTTTTATCGTCATGCTCGTCTCATTTTGATCGAGGAAGGATTGTGTTTAGCCTAATATTCGCCTGTTACCGACCAGGCGGGTTTACTTTGGTCACATGACGTTTTCCTCCGTCTTTCCCTCTGATCGGTCAGACCGCGTCCCACACCTTTTACGGACGAGTCCTTTTACTACTCTAATTTCCTGATGGACGATTAAGCCGTGGGAGTGGTTCACTACTAAGGCAAATGCAGATTCAGTCAATTGCGTATGTACTGGCTTCCGCGGGGCTCGCTGGCGGCTGGGAGGCTGAATTCCGGGTACAAGGTGAGGAGGGAACGCCGTCTGCTTCAGCGAGCCACGCAGGTCACGCTGGTGCTTCAAGGATCCCGGATCCTCGACTCGCAAGAACAGAAGGGTTCACTGCGGATCAAGCCGTGTTTTTCTTCAATAATAATTTTGAGTGCTTGGGTAAACCTGCCATAACGAGTTGGCATGCATGATTAACTTTGTGCATTTAATCAACACGGGACGACGAATTTGCGATGGAACTTTACGAAAAAGAAAAGGCTGTTTTCAATCAGTGACAAATCGCCTTCAGCTAAGACGAACGATGTGGGCAATTTCGTTATTAGTCACCATAGTCACCAAAAGAAAATAGTTCCGCCATGAAAAATGTTAAAAAGCGCGAAGTGATTGGTGGATATTACATTAGTTGGGGCTGTTCGTGATGCACACCTATATGTAAATTGGCAGGGCTCAAAAGATCTGTCCTTCTCTGTCCCGTTATCCCTTATTTGTTCCTTTTTACCCTACCCCCCCCCAAAAATACAGATATTTGAGTAAGACGTAGTGACAACGTGTCTTGTTCTAAAGCTCTGCTACACTGACCCCTCTGTGTTTGTCATAAATATGTTAACAGAAAACGATTCTAAAATACACTCATGTAGTCAAATGCCTTTGTAATATTAATACTCCTTCCATGTGAATACACGCCTTGTTAATTGGAGAGTGTAGATTCCCGACTTACTAGTCGAAACGTTGGGTGACGCTCCATGGCGTATGTGGGAGGTGAAACATCTGGGACACCTGGAGGTGTACACATTTATTCAGATGGTCCTGAGAGTAAATTAATTTGTTCCTTTCAAGATTTCAAATTGTTAAGGTCACCGCTGTTACGCCCCCTATCTGGCGGCATCCTGTTTTCTTTCATAAATGTGTGATGTTCTCCGTTATGTAGATGATTACAGAGGTCAACCAAGCCTGCTGAAACGTTTTGAGATGATTTCGTGCAAAATTCATAGTGTTTGTACCCTCACACTCGTTTCCCTGTGCATATTTGACGCACCTTTCCGGCGCATCGGTCGCCTCAGAAAACCACTGCAGTAAAACGGTTAATTTTTTTTCTTTTTTTTAAACGAGTTGGTGTTGGAACCTAAGGAGGACGCTTATCCTAACGTCATGCAAAAGTAAAATACACATAGCACGTTCAAGACTTACTAGAATCTAAAGTTCAGTATCAGCTTTCGTTGTAACAATTACTTCAAATCTACACCTTCTTTTTATCATGCTGTACTGAAGATTCCGGTTAGTCCTGAAGGTTGTCCGTGTAATTTACATGTATGTCTCGCGGATTGACTTGATTCTACCATTATTGAATATTTGACAAAAATGCTGTTTGCTTTTTTCTTCTCAGGGCATGTATTATCTTCACAATAGTGTGATTCAAACCCATGGAAACCTCAAGTCCTCGAATTGCGTCGTTGACAATCGCTTTGTGGTCAAGATCACCGATTTTGGGCTGCATTCCTTCCGGGAACCCGACCACGCCTTTGAGCCTGATGAGGATGATTCCTTCCAGTATTATCAGAGTAAGTACCGAGATGAGACATGTTTGCTGTAAGCTTAAAATGTCCACCCATTCGCGTAATTTTTTTAGGAAGTTTAGGGGCAATTATAATAAAATTGGTGTGTCTCACCGTTGCGCGTGCGTTTTTCATCCAGGAAGGTTAGGGGCGATTATCATGATGGGGTACACGAACTTTCAGTATTAGATACAACAAAATTGTCTTTCTGGCCGACTTGTATGGTAGCTGTGCTGTGTTAGAAGAGCGTTATACTTGGAACCAACAAGCCAAGGGTTCGAGTCTACATATAGTAATTTTTTTCTTGGTCAGGGAATTAGTTGCTTGAAGGATGTTTTTATAAAGTAAAGCCCGACATTTATCTTGGCACTTAAATTTCTAAGTGTCCACTAACCCGATCAAGCTTGCAAGCTTACAGTCTACCCCTAACCTTCCTGGGGAAAAAACTTACGCCACCCGTTCTGCTTACGTAGATAGTTGGCAGGTTATGCTTTGTACATGTGAAAGTCTTGCTATCCAAGTGTGGATTTGGCTGGAGCGATTTTAGTTGAAACTGAGTTGGTTTAGTGCCAGTTACTGGGGACTATTTTGTAAGGATTGTCCTAATGCGCCCTCCAGAGACTTTTGTAAGTTTTACTTAAGACCTGTCGACGCCGTATGTACTTGTTTTTGAATGTGAGCCCTGAACTCGATATAATACATTGGGTGCCGCCCGCGATTGTTGCTGCCTGAGGCTTAACAAATTTATCTAGGCCAACATTGACAAGGAACTTTGATAAGTCTTGCTGGCATTAAGACGACACAGTGTGATCTCGAATGTGAGTAATTCTATCGATAATTTTCGATTAGGATCATTCCTAGCGGTTCGCGCTTGGTAATGTAGTCATTTGGCCCCTTAGTCACGTACCTGATCTTCCCAGCTTTCACAGTAACTGGATTTGTCTGACAAACTCTTTAGGAACACAATAACCACCCACTATTAAGTCACTAAGGATTTAGTTTTGAATTAATGAAAGCCAGTGTGCCTGAAGTTTCTATACAGTTATTTTATAGTTCCTCGAGGATAAAAAGTTACAGGTTTCCTTAAAGCTAGTGTTGGTCGCAGCCGTGACGTAACAGTTCAAAGAGCGTGTTTTCAGGAGGGAAAAGGAAATTTTCAAGAGAATTGATTAATCAAGGGACCTATTCCATTCCAAATTTATGGAAAAATGCACTCAGATGCTGACCAATATTATCTTAATGAGCACACGCCCAAAGAGGGGTTGTAAATACAAGCATTGTATCATGAGGCGGTCAGTTTGGGTGTCCTTCATTATTATTCATCATCATTCCGATCGGATTGTATACCCTGGAGATCTCCATAGTAACAACAGACTATTTTCTAATGCGACATTACTAGGTCATCAGGGACTAGCCATTCAATATGACCGCGGTTATTTCAGCTGATGCCAAAGCACGCGAGGCGATATCCTATCGTGGAAGGACTTCAGAGCGCGTTAATGAAGGTCGCTTGGCGCGTCCCCCCTCCCATCAGTCTTAGTGGCTGCTGAGATGAAAGACAATACTCCGGAATGTGATTTAAACGGAATGCGCTATTGTAACCGAGGTCATGACATATTACCAGGCGGATGGGGGGGGGCATCGCTTGTAGAGTCAGGCTGTAAATCTCATCGGGCGGTATGTGGCGATAATTACTGAAACCGCAACTGTAAAAAATAATTACAGTTTTGAAAGGGCTTTGCATGTAGTTAGAGTAGTAGGGAGCTGGCTATGGTATGTGGACGTCATTGCCCTATGCAGAAACACACGCGGTGGTGACGGAGTGCACTGTACCTTGCAGTTATTGCGTCCTAATTTCGTACCAGGGATTCACGGCATGACTGTTTTCATAAAGTCTGACTCGGCAAGTCCAGGTCGGTAGGTATACACTGTAGGGTCCAGATTAAGGGGCGATGTCTCTAACCAACCATGCACAGCGACAGATTGGGCGAGTAGGGCCCAAGGCAAACCAAACTGTGTGATGGCAGTGTGCCTGATAAATAATGATGCATGCATCAGATGCTGCTAAAATGAATAAAAATCACCAATTTTGTCTTGTAAAATAACACAGGCCTTGTACTTGAAGAGAACTCGAGCCTCTTTCAACACCTGCGACAGTGCCCTCCTCGTCCTTCCCTGGCGGCGCAAGCACAGGATTGCATGTCCTATCTCAAATTAAAATTATTTCCCACTTACGAACTTACCATATTCAAATCTGCTCACTGTTCCTTCTCCGTTTCAGTGTTATCACGTGTGCCTGCCCACTGCTTTAAAGAGTTACACTGCTTAGTGGAAAAGTGTGCAAGATAAAATTTGAATCCCAAATGTTTCGGATGGTTGAAGCTCAGGCGGGCTCTGGCTGCAGACATCCTTCAGAACTACACGCACAAGTCTCACGATCGTGTTGCTCATTTCGCTACGAAGATGTTGTGCCTGGATGTAAAGTACAGACAGGGTTCAGTCTGCGATTTATAGTGGTCATTGGAGACGGAAAATTGTTCAATCGTCGAGAACATTTAGAGCCTAGTTTTACCCAGTAATGCCATGTATAATCATGAAAAATCTTTGAAGTACATTTTGCGGGTAATTTGTCTGGGGTTCAAATATGTCATAATACCACTTTTACTAGTTCAAAGTTAACTGTTACTCAAACATATGCCTCAAGTTTAATGCTTGTTTAGCCTAAAGTATTCTTATAATCAACAAACCCTGTTGGCATTTCAGCATTTGCCAGTTATTTACAGAATTCCAAAAAAATGGTATTCAGGTAATCAAAGGTTCTGGTATTCAAAGGTTTTTACAGCGTCTATCTCGGCTGCGTACACTCTTGTTATCGCCCGGCTCTTGCCGACAGCTGTTTCGGGCAAAAGTCACCAGCACCTCTTGTTCAAATAAACACAACTGTTTCGAGTGAATTTACATTTGAAATCCATCGCTGTCTAACGGTGTCTTCCCGCCTGATGTGACCTCCACGCGCCGTACAGCTGCTGCACTCGCACCCATGCTCGCACGCGGTTTTCGAATTCGCTCAAGGCATGCACAGCGCGAGGTTTCTTGGCGCGAAACGTATCGATGGAAGTGTTATAAATGGTTTCAGCGCGTGGCGGGTAAACTAGCCCCAACAGCACGACTTCATCCAGCTGTAACTTGGCTAGATATTAACGGAGACATGCAGTGATATTCAGCTCAACTTGTTTTAGTGCGTAATTCTATGTGTTACATCAACACGAACACAATCTTCATGCTGGATTTTCATTGGAAATTATTGAAGGCGGTAGTCTTTCAATTCTAAGTAAATACTTTTCATCAACGACAGCGTTATTTTGATTTTGTCCTACAAGGCACTTCTTGTCAAAAGAGCATATTAACAGGAGTACTAAAATCAATCCTTCAAAATGACCCTCCAATAATGTTTTGAAGAAAATTGGCCTCTATTATTGTCCAAACAATCTGTGTAAAATAAAATCCAAGTATAAAGTAGAACCTACTCCAAGAAAATGAAGGAAACTGTGACATATATTGTATGCAGAGCTATGAAAACATTCTTAACTTGTGCCTTGCATGGCATCACGCTTTGGCTCGTGAAAGTAGAAATCTTCCCAAGCATAAGATCCAACATGTTGAAATTTCTCCCTTGAATTGCTACAAAGGAGGTGGAAAGTCATTGTTACATGTAGATAGAAATGTGCTAAATGTATTCAAATTCATAAAATTCCTGATGGTACCTTTAAACGTCGCATTGGCACAGATTTCGCCGGCAGCATCATACGTGAACGAGCCAGGAATGCATTTTTCTCAACCAACGCCCAGCATGTCGTTGCGATGTCTACATTCCATTGCACATTTCATTTAATGATATAATGGCTCCATTACATTTTGGAAGGAGTCAAATATAATTGTGACATGCTTCTATATTAAAGTCAGCACCTCATCATACGTTTTCAGCCGACCGACTATAGATAATAGACGAGTGTGCGGGGCCGGCCATGGGCTTATATATTAGGTGCGGCGTTGCTGCGAGAAACAGACAGATGTTGCTTTGCATCTGTCACGATCCCCAGGTCCGCTGCAAGAGGGGAGGTGATTTCTCTCAGTGTGCATGTGGAAACAAGCGGTTTGGCGTCAATTGGCATGATCGAACGGCAGATTGTGTGCTTCCGCCTATCTTTCAGTAAAGTTGGCGTGAGATGCGCTTGGTTTGTGCAATTTGAACGTGACATTGTTTCACAGGGCAAGTTTGGGAGGGAAATGTAGTTCGACCGCTGATCAGTTACTTTTTAACAATGCACACGTGCATCAGAGCCACTCCCAAACTGTCCCAATTTGTGTAAAATCCCATTGTCATTCACAATGTTGACGTTGGCTGCGACTCAAGGGCAGCTGCATGGTCAGTAACATCTCATGCAATTATTTTCATTAATTTTGATTAGTTACCTCAGTACTGATAAATTATATTGACTATTGATAACTAGCACTGCGTCCATGCTCCAGGGCCTTGTTCCAAATATTGTCAAATAGATGGTCCAAACCAGCCATCGGTCGGGCGATTATGGTTGAACTATAGTTAGCTATTGTCCTTACTCGAACTTTCCCACAACTGAATTTGCAGCATTGATTAAGATGAGCGTTTCAACGACTTTGAAAGGCAACGCTCCACCGTGAAGTGCGCCATCAAGCCAAGAAGTCGCCGTGGTCGACATCTTGCAAAATCGTGATTATGCACTGCCTTCATTTGATCAGTCCCTCGTATTTCTTACACGTGTTATCACTCAAGTGCACCTCAGAGCCAACTAAGAATTAACTCACTGAAGTGTGTCATTCAGTTTGGACAAAATCCAAATTGAAAACTCTGGAATCCATTTTTTTTTTCTTCAACAGACTCTTCTAACGGCGTGGAAAACATTTAGTCCATTCGGCGTGAGTGTGAAATAATTATTTACTATGACCGGCTATTGGCTTTTCATTTC